GCCCACGTCCTGGACCATCAGGAGTGGAGCTCACAGTTATGTCCCATGCAACCAGCTATTTGTTCATTCCTCATGAACCCTAGCTTTCTGAAAGCATCTGTACAAAGTAAGAGAAAAGAAGAAAAAGAAAAAGAAGAAAACCCAAGGAACAGGAGATGAGACCATAACCTCCTCCATCCCCTTGTTAATTCCATCCTTGTTAATTTCCATATGCATTTGCCTGAGCTCTCCACTTACAAACATGTCACCATGGGCAAGTCCTTCCCTTCCCCTCCTGAAGGCCCATGTTTCTATGTCTTTCAAACAGGGACAATAATATCTCCTGCCTACTCCTCTGGCGTGTTGCAAGGATTCCGGCAGGTAAGTTCATGGAAAAGCAGAATTTAAAGATAAAGTTAGGGTCAGCCCTGTGCCGTAGTGGGCTAAGCCTCCGTCTGTGGCACCGGCATCCCATATGGGTGGCAGTTTGTGTCCTGGCTGCTCCACTTCTGATCCAGCTCCCTGCTGATGGCCTGAGAAAGCAGTAGAAGATGGTCCAAGTGCTCGGGCCCCTGTACCTATGTGGGAGACCCAGAAGAAGCTCCTGGCTCCTGGCTTTGGGTCGGCCTGCCTCTGTCTGTTGCGGCCATTTGGGGAGTGAGCCAGCAGATGGAAGACCTCTCTCTCTGTCTGAAACTCTACCACTCAAACTAAAGAAAGGCTAAATTTAGTTGGTACCCATATACACAACAAGAAAGTAAAAGACTGTCTGTCTTGAAACCATGCCTAGTTTTCTCATAACATACGTATTTCATGAATGTGTGGGAGACCTCTCATATACTAATGCACTGTCTGCCTCTTGATATTCTACACATTCCTGCGTCCTGGAAGCCAGGGATGGGGGCTGGGGGTTATCAGGCAGCTCTGCTTCCTAGGGCCAGTTCCTGGGATTTGATCGTCAGCAATTTCCATAATCACCAGCTGCGTGCTGGATCCTTTAATGATCCCAAAGCACCCTCTCATGTCCCTGTGACAGCTGATAATGACAGCCACGGTGATTCTGCTGAGTACATCCCAAAACCCACACTGGGTATTTTGTATTCTTTATCTTGAATCATTAAAATAATTCTAGATGGTGAGGGTTGTTTTTTAATTAATCAAACACAGTTTTGTTTTTGTTTTTATAAGTCATACCCCATAATATAAAACTCACATGTTAATATTTGGTCTGACACCAAAGAGAATCAGATAATCATCTAGAGTTTATGAAAACAGAGCACAAGAATGGCTGAAGTGTGAAGTTTATTGGGGGGAAAATGTGCTCTTAATAAGGTGGGAGGCTGGCATTTGGTGCAGTGGTTAAGCCACCACCTGTGACACTGACATTCCATATAGATGCCAGTTCAAGTCCTGGCTTCTTCACTTCTGATATGGCTCGCTGATGGCCCAAGCCCTGGGTTCATACTCATGTGGGAGCCCAGGAAAAAGCTTCCTGGCTCCTGGCTCTGGGCTGGTCCAACCCTGGCCATTGTGGCCATTTGGGGAATGAGTCAGCAGATGGAAAATTTCCCTTCCTATCTCGCTCTTTCTCTCTCTCTGTAACTCTTCCAAATAAATAAAATAAATCTTAAAAAAAAAAAAAAGCCATACACACAGCTAGAGCAGGGATACTGGCAGCTTGTGATGCCAGTATCCTGTATCAGGGGACTGTTCAAGTCCCAGCTGCTCCACTTCTGGTCTGGTTTCCTTCTAATGTGTCTGGGAAGGCAGCGGATGATGGTCAAAGTACTTGGGCCCTGCCACTCATGTGGGAGACCCAGATGGAGTTCCAAGATCCTGACTCTGGACTGGATCAGATCTGGCTGTTGTAGCCATCTGAGGAGTGAACCAGCATATGGAAGATCACTCTCTTTCTTTTTATCTCCCCTGCAAACAAATAAAGCTTTCCACACACACACACATACACACACACACACACACAGAGTGGTGTGAGGCCAGCATTCAAGCTTAAGTCTTGCCGGATCCAGAGTATATTTTCTTTGAGTCACACCACATGGGCTTCGCATAGAATCCTAACTGCTCCCAACAGGCATGAAGCCGAGAAAAGTTTGGAATTGTACATAAAAGCAAAAGTAACTCTTAGCATCATTACCCAGTCTTCTTGAAAATGGGCATTCGGAGGGTGGGTTAGGGTGGGGACTTGTGGCGGGAGTAGGTGGTGAAGCTTAGACCAGGAGAGAATATCAACAGGAAAGCAAACATATTGAAGCTGTAACATTCTGGGCAGAACTCAGTGTTAATCCTATAAACATTACTCAGTGCCTGCTAGATGCTGGTGCCAGGGCTACAAGGCCCAGAAGTGTTTCCTGCCCCTCATAAACCCTCAGCAAGCCTGAGCTGATGGAATGTTTCTGTTAAATATTTAAAAAGTGAAATTAAAAAAATGTAAGGGGATAAGGCCGATCTGTGATATTTTGCAGAACAAGGAAGGAAATGAATGAAAGGAGAAGAGAATCAGAGCTGGGCAGTGTTGCTGCACTCACCAAGGTGTTTGTGTGCCCGCGGAGGAAGCTGGGCGGGCGGAAGCACAGGACTTAAGGAAGGGTAAGGGATTTGAAGGTCACCTTTGGCTCCGCCTCTCTTGCACAGAGGCTCTTCCTCCTATCCTCCCAGTTTCCAACATGCAAAGCCACCCAAGGCTGCGCTAACTAACCAGGATTCCCTCCTGCCTGTCTCTCAGCACTGGGAACGCTCCCCATCAGCTTCCCTCTCGCCAGGCTGGGAGCCAGCCAAATGACAAGGAGGTGACTCAGCAGTCCAGAAAAGTGAGAAGACGACTTTAAAAATAAAAAAGCAGTCTAGGATGTTTACGTTCTCAGAGTTTCCGAAACTTCGGCATCTGCTCTCTCATCTATTTAGATTTGGTTCTCAGATTAGCATATGGAACAGAGATTCTGGTGTACTCATGTCACAGATGGGAGGACAGAAGCCCAGAAGAGTTAGTGTGGCCATCCTTGCATGGGTAGGACTAGGAAAGCATGAAGAAGCACATTGCTGGGTACAATTGGGAGGGCCTCATCAGGGAAGGCTTCTGGGAGGTGGTCCCATAGCTAAGTAGAAAAATATAATTATCGAGGCCAGTTCTGTGGTGAAGTGGGCAAAGCCGCCCCTTGCAGCACCAGCATCTCTTATGGGCACCATTTCGAGTCCAGGCTGCTCCACTTCCAATCCAGCTCTCTGCTGACATGCCTGGGAAAGCAGCAGAAGATGGCCCAAGTGCTTGGCCCCTGCAACCCACATGGGAGACCCGGATGAAGCGCCTGGTACTTGCCTTAGGCCTGACCAAGTCCTGGCTGTTGTGGCTATCTGGGTAGTGAACCAGTGGATGGAAGCTCTCCCCTCTCTGCTTCTCCCTCTCTCTAACTCTCCCTATCAGATTAATCTTTTAAAGTTTTAAATTATTAAAACAAGAAAAATATAATTATCCACTCACTAGGTAAAGAAAGGGAGACTCCAGGTAGATGTCATTGCAAAGGCTTGAAAACATAAGGGAGGCTGGGGGGTGACGATACGCTGAGGACGGTGACTGCAGCTAAGACCTACCCATTGCTCACTGTGTGCTGACACTGTTAGAACAGGTAACTCTGCTAAGAGGGTTTACTACATGAATTATCACCCCTATCTTGTACGGTAGGTACTTACTTTTTATTATCACCAGTTTGCAACTGAGGAAACTAAGGTATGGACAAGTTCAGTAGCTTGTCTATGAGGTCACATAGGAACAATCTTTTGTGCTATCGTAGGAAGTATGCATTTTATCCTGGGAGTGAAGAGCACCCTTCTCCCCCCAACTCTGGTCTGGATGGGTGCTTCTTCTAAACTTTGTATTTATTTTCATTTTGTTTGAAAGACAGAGAAACGGAAAGGGGGAGAGATAGATGCAAACGAGAGAGAGATCAATCTTCCAACCACTGGTTCACTGCCCAAATGTCCACACCAGTGGGGGGCTGGATTAGGCAGAAGCCGGAGCCTGGAATTCAATCCTGGTCTCCCACGTGCATGGCAGGGACCCAAGTACTTGGAGCCATCATCTGCTGCCTCCCAGGCAGTGATTAACAGGAAGGTGAATGGGAAGCAGAGGAGGTACTCAAGCCCCGCCTGGAACCCAGGCACCCCAACGTGGGAGGCAGCATCCCATGCTGCCTGTTGACAGCTGGCCAAGAGCCTGCCCCTTGATGGGTCTTGAGCAGAGAGGAGATGGGGACAGGTCTGAGTCTTGGAAAGCCTTCTCTGAGGCAGGGGGCATGTGGCCCAGACAGGGGAAAGAAACTGGAACCCAACAAAGACCAGAGGAGCAACCGCGGGGGAGGAAGCAGAGGCGTGTCCCCACCACTCCTGGTGTCTGTGGTTAAGAAATGGTCCCCCTTGCCTCCACTTCCTCTACCTGCAAAGGCACAATACTATGCTTGCATCTACCTGCATCTGGAATGGCCTGAAAATGAGTGGGACAGAGGCCGGCTGGCTTTCCTGTGTTAAACAGCACCCAGGTACTACCTGTGGCGCACCTGAAACGCTGAATCTACAAAACATGCTTTGATGGAAGACCTGGAAATAATTACAGCTTGCTAATTATTGTTAATTTGACCACAGCTTTGGAACCCTGGACTTTCTCAATGATTCAAAGAGATTGCAACCCTTCTGTGCCATTATAGGGGCCACACCACGGCAGACAAGCACCTTCTCACAGGCTCAATTCTTTCATTTTGGGCAGTGGCTCAGTCACTTCTCCAGGATACAGAGAAGGGCCGCAGCGATTTGCTCATTTAGAAACAAATTGTACAAAGAATTCCTTAGTTGTGCTGGCTCTTTAAGACTTGGTTCCTTTTCCTCCCCACTGCACCATTACACGCACAAACATCACGCGCCTGTGGCTGGGAGGAACTAGTGTTCGACAGAACTTCATCACTCTGCACACCAGGAAACCTGGGTTTCAGCTGCGATCTGGTGACAGACCTGCCTTACCTCCCCTCCTCCCCCCACCCCCGGCTTTTCTTGATTCTACTGTTTCCATATTTTCCAGTCTTCATGGTTTGCTAACACAGGTAGGGTACCAAAGACTCCTCCCCAGGGATTTGAGAAAATTGAGGTGCGCAGCGGGACTACAGGTCTCCTAGCCTCATCTGTGTGACCTGTGAAATGGGTCCAGCCGCGTCTGGACTATGGTGAGGATACAGTCTGAGGAAGGGAAACTGAACAAATGCGTGCTATAGGCAGAAACGGGGGAAGGAAAGAGGGAGTGGAAAGAGCTGAGGAAGCGGTAAGGATGGGGACTGGGAGCGAGACAAGAGAGGGAGTGGGCTGGAGCAGGAGAATCCCCGCCCTGGGAAGCAGAAAGGACGCCCGCGTTGCACAGCCAGAGGTAGCGCCGAGGGCGGCTCCCAGAGGGCGGGCTCCAGTCCCCGCCGCCCGCAGGTGAGTATCGGTCTTCCCCTCCCCCACCCCGGCTTTCGGTCCGGGGGAGGCGGGAGCACCTTCCCCGGCTCTGATCCTATCGCTGCCGGCGCAGGGCTGCCTGGGCCTTCTGTGGGACGGGGAGGGGGGGAGGCGGGATGTGTCACCCAAATACCAGCGGGCGAGTCGCGGCGGAACCCGCCGGGCAGGTCGGGCCGAGTATAAGAGGGACAGAGAGCCGCCGGGCGGCAGAAGTCCGCGGACAGTGCCAGGTGCCGCAGCTCCGCTGAGTCCCGTCCGCGCTCCTCCACCCCACCATGGCCCGGGGTCCGGGCCTCCCGCCGCCGCCACCGCGGCCGTTGCCACTGCTGCTGCTGCTGTTACTGCACCTGGCGGCGGTGACCCGCCACGCGGCCGCGCAGGACAACTGCACGTGCCCCACCAACAAGATGACCGTGTGCGGCCCCGACGGACCGGGTGGCCGCTGCCAGTGCCGCGCGCTCGGCTCGGGCGCGGTGGTCGACTGCACCACGCTCACCTCCAAGTGCCTGCTGCTCAAGGCGCGCATGAGCAGCACGAAGAGCGGCCGCGGGCTGGTTCGGCCGAGCGAGCATGCGATCGTGGACAACGACGGCCTCTACGACCCCGACTGCGACCAGGAGGGCCGCTTCAAGGCGCGCCAATGCAACCAGACGTCGGTGTGCTGGTGCGTGAACTCCGTGGGTGTGCGCCGCACCGACAAGGGCGACCAGAGCCTGCGATGCGACGAGCTTGTGCGCACCCACCACATCCTCATCGACTTGCGCCACCGCCCGGCCGCGCGCGCCTTCAACCACTCGGAGCTGGACGCCGCGCTGCGGCGCCTCTTCCGCGACCGCTACCGGCTGCAGCCGCGCTTCTTGGCGGCCGTGCACTACGAGGAGCCCACCATCCAGATCGAGCTGCGGCAGAACTCCTCGCAGAAGGTCCCCGGCGACGTGGACATCGCCGACGCCGCCTACTACTTCGAGAGGGACATCAAGGGCGAGTCGCTGTTCGCTGGCAGCGGCGACATGGACGTGCGTGTGCGCGGCGAGCCCCTGCACGTGGAGCGCACGCTCATCTACTACCTGGATGAGCAGCCGCCCCAGTTTTCCATGAAGCGCCTCACCCCCGGCCTCGTCGCCGTCATCGTGGTGGTGGCGCTGGCCGTCGTCGCCGGCGTGGTCGTCCTGGTGGTCAGCAACCGCAGGAAGGCGGGGAAGTACAAGAAGGTGGAGGCCAAGGAGCTGGGGGAGTTGAGAAATGCGCCGAGCCAGTAGGCACTTGGCGGGCCTGAGGGGTGCGGGGGTGTGGGCGTCGACCCTAAGCAGAGGCTGAGACCCGGTCCAAGGGAGACATCTCTCTGTCCCCCCACCCCCTGCCGCCGCGTCCACTCTCCACCTCCTCCCGGGGTCACCCGCCTGCTGACTTCTGTCTGGAAGGAAGCATTTCTAAACTTCCTTCCTTTTTGGTCCAACAATGAGAATGGCCCCGCGGTCGGTGTGGGAAGCCAAGTGCCTGCCAGGGTCAGAATCCACCACGAAGGCTCAAGTGGGCTTAGATGGAAAGCGGCGCTTTTTACTGTTCTGGGGCTTGAGCTAGCCAATGAGCTCCACTTGTATCGTGTGGCTTCCCCGAGGAGTTTGTTAATTGGGCCTGCGAGGTGTTCTGTACCGTGGTTGGTGGGACCGACCACAGCTCCGTCGCCAGGACAAAGCCCATTTCCGCTCCTGAGCGCTCCCTAGATGCCATTGAGGGCAACCCCCTGCCCCAGAAACTCAGTGTCTGGTCTTCAGCTCGCCCGGAGGACAGCTCCTGTTAGTTGTGTTTCCTTTTGTAAAATGTTTGTACATAGATTGTCTTTAATAATGCTGCTGTGATTTTTTTTTAAAAAAATAAATAAAAACAAATTGAATAAAATACCAAAAAGGTCCAAACTACAAGGTAGAATTTGTGAAACCTCCCTCCAGGTTTATACAACTTTGTCTCTAATTTCCTAGGACTCCGAGTGAAATTATATAAATCTCAGATTCTAACACTATTAGGCAGGTGCTTCCTGGGCTATCTTTATATCTTTAGCTGGCCACTGTACCTGCTCTTCCTTCTGTATAAGATTATTTGGAAACTTTCAAGCTACAGGGTGGGTTTGAGGGAGGACGCTACCCCTCACAGGCATAGTTGGGAAGGGGGGCCAGCCTCAGTTGTCTCTGAGCATGGGTCTTCAGCAGTGGGAAGGGAAACGTAATTACTTCTGCAAGGTGTATTTCTTTTGACTCCCAGCCTGACTCTGAAATAGGTACCATTCCCATTCTGCCCTTGGGCAGATGACTTCATCACAGTGTTGTGGCTCTTTAAGAAGTTACATGATTTTCCCGCAGAACTAACTCCAGCCAGTTCTCGGTGAGCCCTGTGATCTGGCTGTGTACACGCAGCCTGGTGCCCTTAAGATTTTGTGAGTCATGCACTTGAGAGACCTTTACTTCCTATGAGCTGTAAAAACTAGCCCCCTGTCTCTTTCACACTCAGCTCCTTTTCACTCAATCACATTCATTTTTGCGGTGGGGCAGCCAACCTGTAAACAAGCTAGAGCAGTTTCTGGAAAGTGACCCAACAAGGGGTGTGGCCAAGGAGGGAGCAGGTGGTGCCTCAAGCACCCGGCAGCAAATAAGCTAGCTCTAGGACTTCCCCCGGGTTCCTCCGCCCAGCCAACTCAAGACTCAAATCCCTGTACAAAAGACGAGGGGAGGGGCACCGGGAGGTCCTTCCTAGCCGCTGTCTTTGCCTTTTGGGGCTGGGGCTGGTGTGGGGTAGTCTAGCAAACGCCAGATCCCAGGGAGCTCAGAGTGGCAGCTCAGGTGGGTGTTAAGAAGGGGAGAGAGTCCCAGGGGATGGGGACTAAGACGAAGATGAAGGGTCTGAGGTTAGGGTAGGCTTCTAACAATGAGGGTGAGACTCCCCACTCCCTGAGTCCCTACCTCTGGTGATCACCTCTGATCTAAGCCCTCATTTCACGGGTGAAAAGAGCAAGTGGCTTCTCAAGGTTAATGTTGCCATGGCACAACTAGGACTAGAAAGCCCCATTGTTCCCAGGGTCACTTGACAGCTAGGGAATAAACAGACGGAGGCTGGAGTGGGCACAGCTGAACAAAGGCAGCTCCCTGAGAACACCCATTCCTGCATCAGAATGCCGCCTCTGTGTGCTAGTTCCGTTTCTGCCTTCCTGTGGCACAGGGACCCCTTACTTGTCAGCACTTTGAGTTTGCAAAGTGCTTTCACACACAGAATTTCCTTTGAGACACTGACCTGCTGGAAATAACTTTGGGTGTTGACAAAGCTGAGTTCAACTCCTGTGCCAGGGGGCCAAGAAGTCAGTTAATTCCCCTGTTTCCTCTTCTGTGAAATGCAATTACAACTCCTTCTTTCGCTGTTGCAAAGACTGAATGAGGTCATTGATATGAGCACTTAGTGAGAGTGGAATATATTTTACATCTTCTCTTCTCCAGATTATATCCTTGTCACGTGTCCCAAAACAGAAGTTCAAAAAGGTTGATAAGCTCACGAACACACATCCTCCCTTTGTCAAAGGCTGAGTTTAGAACTTTCGTACTGACTTCATAGCCCAAGTTGCTCTCCAATGCACCTAGCTGGTGGAGACACTTTCCTATTCATCTAGTCCAAGGAACTAGGAAAAAACCCCTTGTGCTTCTGTTTTGAAATTCACCTTGCGTCTCCTGGGGACAAGACTCCAGAACCAAATGTCCTCAAGGATTCAGTCTCCACCTCCAGGACTGCTCCCCCCTCCCCCAATGCCCTTCCACCCCAACAACACATACAAACCTGCCAAGCTCAGGCCCGGGGCTGCTCTCCGAAGGAATGTGAGAAACAGGTGTGGCTTACCCAGCAGGTCACTGCTTGTCCTCAGAGCCTCTAGAGGAGACACAACTGATTTCCTCCTATGGGTCACCAGGGCTTTCTCCTCTCTTGCTAGTGCCTTAGTCTGAGCAGATTTGTTAATTATTCATTTCCCTTCTGCTTACATGTTTTCTGCTTCACTGTTTTCCAACTACAATCACAGAATGTCAGAGTGAGAAAGAGCTCCGAGGGCCATTTAGTCCAACAGCGCCATTCTACAGGTGAGCAAACTGAAGCCCAGATTGGAGAGATTTCCCAAGCCAGGCAGAGTGGCAGCAGTACCCGAGAGACCCAGTACCCTGGATCTGTCCCTCCTTGGTCTCCAGTCAATTTTACCTTGATCAGTCCTGTTCTTCAGTTGTGGTTATTTAGCTTTTTAAATCTCACTTAAATAGGAGAGATTCTGTGGTTAAATGTGCAATGCATGAGCTCTGAAGTTACCCAGTGGCTGTCTGCTTATCTGTAAAATGGGTGTATTTGTATCTAACTTGATTAATTGTAAAGATTACATCTAGGATCTGAAGACTCAGCATGTCTTTAGTAAGGGATCACTCTTGTTTGAACTACAGCAATATCATAGACTCTTGGGGGAGACTACTAGTAACAGCTGAGCTCTTCCCAGTGAAATGTGAACTGGACTTCCACACCACTTTCTCAAGGGACATCTCTGTCCCTAGACTTCTGCTATTATGGGGAAAGAGCAACATCGGAAGCCACCTGTGTACAAAGGCAGAGCTAGGGAGCACCTGGTTTGAATAAAACAGCCGAGAGGGACACTCACCTTCATCTGTGATGTGAGAAAAAGATATGTCTTCCCTTTCTTTTTTTTTTTTTAAATTATATATTTATTGAAAGGTAGAGTTACACAGAAAGAGGGAGAGACAGAGATTTTCCATCTGCTGGTTCACTCCCCCAAATGGCTGCAATGATCGAGCTGGGTTAAGTCAAAGCCAGGAGTTTCTTCTGGGTTTTCCATGTGGGTGCAAGGGCCCAAAGACCTGGGCCATCCTTCGCTGCTCTCCCAGGCACATTAGCAGGGAGTTGGATTGGAAGTGGAGCAGCCTGGACTCAAACTGGCACCAGTATGGGGATGCCAGCATTGCAGCTTTACCCACTATGCCACAGCACTGGCTGCAATGTCTTCTTGTCTACTTGAAAGGCAAAGTGAGAGAGAGAGAGAGAGAGAGAGAGAGAGAGAGAGAGAGAGAGAGAAGTGAGACAGATCTTCCATTCACTGGTTTAGTCCCCCAGATGGTCACAATAGCCAGGGGTTGGCCAGGCTGAAGCCAGGAGCACAGAACTCCATCTGAGTTCCTCTGGTGGGTGGCAAGGACCCAAGAACTTGGGCCATCATCTGCTGCCTCCCAGGCACATTAGCTGGAAGCTAGATGGGAAGTGTGGAGTAGCCAGGACTCAAACCAAGCAGAGATATGGGATGCGGGGACCCCAAGTGGTGGCTCAACCCACTACTCCACAATGTCTGCATGTCTTCCTTTTAAAAATATGGGCCGAACATCCTTAACCCCAAAATCTGAAATTTGGGCCTGGCCTTGTGGCATAGCAGGTAAAGCTGCTACCTGAGATGCTGGCATCCTATATCAGAGCACTGGTTCACATCACGGCTGCTCCACTTCAGATCCAGCTCCCTGCTAATGCACCTGAAAAAGCAGCAGAAGATGGCCCAGGTGCTTGGGCCCCTACACCCATGTGGGAGACCCTGGAAGAAGCTCCAGGTTCCTGGCTTTGGCCTGGCATAGCCCTGACTGTTATGGCCATTTGGGGGAATGAAAGATCTCTTTTTTTTCTATCCCTCTTTCTCTCTCTGTTGTTCTGCCTTTCAAATAAATAACTATTTAAAAAAAGAAGAAAATCTGAATTTAAATGCTCCAAAATCTGTGACCTGTTAAGTGTCAACATAATGGCCTCAGTAAAAATTGCACACCTGACTCTGATCATAGCCAAAATGCAGATACACTAAGAATATTGTATGAAATCACCTTTGGGCTATGTGTATATGGTATATATAAAACATAAATTAATTTTGTGTTTAGACTTGGCTCTCATTCCCAAGATATCTCTGTCTCTGTCTGCCTGTCTATCTCTATATCTATCTTTATCTGTATCTATCTATATATAGATAGATATCTATCTACATATAGATATATATCTATATCTATCTATCTATATCTATAGATATATGCAAATATTCCAAATTCTGGAAAAATCCATCTCCAAACGGAAGCACTTCTAGTCCCAAGCATTTCAGATAAAAGATACTAAAGGCAAACATTTTGGTGTACCAGTTAAGATGTTGGTGGGGACACCCGCATCCCATATCAGAGTGCCTGGGTTCATGTCCCAGCTCCACTCCCAATCCAGCTTCCTGCTGTTGCACCGCCTGGGAAGCAAGAGATGATGGTCAGGCACTTGATCCTTATCATGCATATGAGAGACCTGGATGGAGTTCCAGTCTCCTGCCTTTCACCTACCCCAGCCCTGACTGTTGCTGGCATTTGGGGAGTAACCCAGCAGATAGAAGATATCTCTCTCTCTCCCTCCCCCATTCCCTTTCAAATAAAAATAATAAATAAATAATAAAATTTTAATAAAAGATACTGAATCCAGGGGCCAGAACAGTGGTGTAGGTTAAGCCTCTGCCTGCAGTGCCAGTATCTCATATGGGTGCCAGTTTGAGTCCCAGCTGCTCTACTTCCAATCCAGCTCATTGCTAATCACCTGGGAAAAAGCAGAAGATGGCCCAAGTGCTTGGACCCCTGCATCCACATGGGAGACCCAGATTGAAGCTCCTGACTCCTGGTTCTTGGCTTTGGCCTGGCCTAGCCATGGCCATTGCAACCATTTGGGGATTAAACAGTAGAGGAAAGATATGTCTCTCTGTCTCTACCTCTCTCTCTGTAATTCTGACTTTGTTGTTGTTGTTTTAAAAAGTTATCTTTTTTTTTTTTTTTTCTTTGTCTATGTTTGACAGGCAGAGTGGACAGTGAGAGAGAGAGAAA